GAAAAATAGAGTCTTGATTGATTTGAAATAAAAATGTTTGGGAATAAGTAGGATATTTTCCCTGGGCTGCCACTTAACACAGATATTTCTTTTGTCATCTAGTGATATTGGTATGACTGGCTATGTTTCATACTCCAAAGACATATATTGTGTTTTTCATGTCAAAGGTTATTAAAATGTAAATAAATGTGGTCTTATAAATGTATGTCTTATAAGTGAGATGGCATTTTATGACTTGCCAAAGTAAGTGATTACGAACATACATTTTAAAGATGAACACCAAATATGTGATTCACATGTTGAATTACCTCACTCACATTGATTGAAATGTCCGTACTACACTGTGAAATAGGTAAACATTTGGAGAAGTCCAGCATCATACAAAAATGACATTTGTTTCACTGTATTTATGAGTTGTGTTGCTAAGAGTGCAAGAACATGGCCCCACCATGTAAGGTGACACCCTGTAGTAGATTTAGGTCTCTAGATATAGGTTTTAGCATCATCAGCTTGTGACACTGTATATGTCATACTGAAGACATGGAGTAGGTTGCTGGCCAGGTTATGGTTGATCAGGGAAGCTCCCGTTCTACCCTTGTCCCAATGTATCTTCTTCAGCAACCACCTTACCATGACTTTGTACTTTAACAATCAGAAATTATTATTAATCTCTTTGTTTTATACATAACAGGATAAACAAGTCTAAACATTGGGAAGGATAATGATTAATAATTATGTGTAAACTGAATAGTGTCCTCTGGAGGCTGACATTTGACTCTCTTGTCATTTTTAATTTTACAGCTGTTACTTTATGGGCTAATAGCTCAGTCACTATAGTATTTGATGAATGACCAGGGTTTGATCCCAGTCAGGGGCAAAATATTTTTCTTGTAGCCTGTGCATCCAGGTTGGATCTGGGATCGACCCAGCCTCCTCTCCAGTTGGTATCGGGGGTCCTTTCCCTGGGTGTAAAACATGACTGGGATGTGAACACACGTTATATCTGTTATTTTACAACACTCACATGTTTGTGTGTGACAAGATAGATAAATTGTTTGCCTAAAAAATAAATTTCCCTTTGTCACTCCTGACCCTAATAGAAGAATTCATGTACTTGCGATGGACATTAATGCTGTTTCTGTATGATGGTCTTTAGGTTTTTACTGCACTGTATATTTGAAAAACCTCTATTGAGGAATGCTGAAATAATATTTTATAAGTTGCGTGTTTAAAACTGATTTTTGAGACTTGGCCACATTTAATATGAGCCTCTCATTTACAAATGCTGCAGTAAATACGAAATAATAATTAGGCCTAGTGATTGTATAAAAAGTCATGGTAAGTGATTGATTTATGGAAAATGTTTGGTTTTTGTCAGTGGACCTTTATGGCATGCATTCATTTTCTGTATCGACAGTCTCTATCCGAGTGAACTTCTGCAAATCTCATTACACCGCACAGAGTCAGAAATTATGTTTCCTTGTGTTTATTAAATAATTCACTGTATCGCAAAATGTTACAAACAAAAGTTTTTGTTGGGTACTAACATTTACTGTATTTCCACAACATCATATTACATTAAAATTTATGCACTACTTTATAGATGATACATGTGACAGACTGATGAACATACATGACCATAACATAAAGATAATCAGAATTATGTGGCAACATCCATACCTGCAGCTGTGAGTGTGTAACTAAACAAGTATTGAGGGTAGATTTGTTTCAGGAGTGTTGCACATTGTGTTCGTCCGAAGGTTGTCATGAACACACACAGGCATTTCCTAATGAGTAAATTAATATGTGGTTTCTTGTTCCTTTTAACATAACAATAAATTTTGCCTGTTAGATATTAGAAAATTAAATATTGTTTGAGACCCTCCAGCGTGATTCATAAGGAATTAAGGTGAAATTTTACTTGATAATGTTAAAAATCATACAATCCCATTAAAATAAAATTTTTTGTAGATATATTTTATAGATATTATGTTTTGTATGGAAGATTTTAACATGAAGATGAACAACCAGAGTACATAAAGAAAGAATATTTTTATCGAGGTTTATTAAGAGCATAATCCATAATGCTACAGCAAGTTTTATCACTTTAAAGCTATAGAAAATGTCTGAATATTTTGTAAAATGTATATATAGAAGCTGCAAGTAAACTAAATTGGTGTTGTTAATTACAAACAAAATATGGTTCATGAAGTCAGTCTCTTGTATCAGTCTTTAAATAAGCTACTGTGGGTATAGGTTAAAAGGTCGCTGTCATAAATTGTAACGAGGTTCGGGGGTCTTTTTAACACAACAATTCTGCTCAGATGTTCTTTCTACCAGGCATATTTACGAAGTCCAAAAGATATGAAAATATTCCAAAATTTGTAAATGTGTGTGTATACACAAACAGATCTCAATTTTTTTTTGTTTTTTCCAGTGCCCTGTGCTTGTTTTTTCAAGACATTGAGTCTCACATGTTATTTCTCTTTGAAGATACCTCAGGGAATACGTCAGAGAAATTTCTGCTCCTTTTTTTTTATAGTCTGCATTATACATTGTGCCATTGTGCATTCATAATTAAACACTCAGTAAAAATTCTTAATTGCTGTTATACTTTAAAGAATAATTTAGGACAAATATTCTTTAAAAGGATCCCTGAAACAATTCCATAACAACATTAACCAGCATACTGAACCTCTGTGTCTGTGTTGTAGCTCAGTCGGTTGATCGTGCTCAATTACCTTTTAAACCTGTGTGATGCAGGGTATGTGCCCCATCACGCTGTTAATGTTGCTCACTTGTAATAAAACCGCCCGGTTTAAAGTCATTTCATGGACGCAGCATCAGTGCTATTGTTTGTTCCACCCACCACTCCCCACTCCCCTGCATGTGCAGTTAGGTTGCCAAGACATCACAAAAGTACAGCTAAAGGAAAAATTACGCAGCTGTGAGATACATTCAAGAAATGTTATCGTTAGCCTTATATTTGTGTTAAGTGAGATTATGTAAACTGATTTCATGTTATGCATATAAGAACTAGGGTAAGATAATAGAATATTATACACACAAATTATTGTTTGGATCTACAGCTGGAACATGGCACACTTTGGAATTCTTCTCATACTCGTATCTTTACGTCGGAAAGTAGATAAAAAATGTCCTGAATTACAGAATATTAATTGAAGTACGACTACAGTTTTAGTATCGTAATAGAGGACGTGAATGTCTGGAAATTAAATTTCAGTACCTCTGAATTATATTCTGAGTCAATATATTGTAAGGATTGGTATTTTGTGTCTTGTAAAGCAATTTTAAGCTCTGCCATTTAGTTTTTTTTTTTTCCAACATGGTTGATAAGCATTTTTCTAATAATCTTTTCTTTTACCATTTTGTGTACATGTATCCAAATTCCTCTATATGAAGATTTCTGTCTTCTGGGTTGTTGCGCCGTGTAGTCTGGTCGATGTCATCGCCCTGATGACAGAGGCAGTATGACCTCTGAAACGTTGGTTAACATCGACTGGTCTACATGGCGCAACAACCCAGAAGACAGAAATCTTCATACTCGCCGCTGTGAAAACCTCAAATCTTACAAAATGAAATTTGAATACAATGAAGTAAATGTCATGTACTGTATATCTGTTATGTTGCTTGGCTGTAGGTGTAAACAATGCAGTAAAGCCACGAGAAACATGGGCACATGAAAATGACAAAGTCGATACTCTTGAACTCGTGTTCGTAACACTGATAGTTATGTGATTTCTCTAGGCGTTCACATATTTCTGTAGCCATATAATTACAAGTGTAGGAAAAGAAGAGTGGAGAATTTGTTTCATACATATTCTGTTAGATGGAGTCAGTACAGCCCTGTTTCTTTCTTCGTCTCAAAGCTCAATGTATAATGTACGTGTTGTTATAGTTTGGTTTTAATTATCATGTGTTCTGTAATGGTATTTAATGTAGTTAATGGACATTATTTCTGATGTTTTAACGATGATCTCGGTAGGTCTGAACGAAGAGTGTCTGCACGTGCTGAAAATAAGCGCTACGTAAGAAATGACTCTGACTTGAGAGCTACTTGCCTTGCTAACACCCGACGATATTCGCAACAGCTGTTAGGAAACCACCAACCAAAGTAAAGTGTGACTGGTAGATTAAATAGATATATTTTTTTTTAAATGTAATGTGTTCTGTTGTATATTTATAGTAATATCTTGATTTTATAACGGTGTCTCTCAACCATTCTACTCTTAGGACATTTATACTTACATAATGTTTTTGTTAGAACATTTGCCACCATTTCGCAAAATATGTTTACCCGTATTTAGTAATTATTTAATGCTCTGTGCTTCATATTTCAGACTTTAATTAAGGACTTGTTAAATTAAAATTCTTGTACAGAATTTGGTGTCAGGAGTGGTTGCCCAGATGCCAGTTTTGTTTTTCCATTTGTGAAGTTCTTTTTATATATTGCCTTTTGAGGTACAGCCTTCGTGATTTGAAATTTTGAAACGAACACAAAACTTTGTGTTCCGTGACCTGTTGCTGGCCTTTCATTGGTTGAGAGCGCTGTTTAACGCTCTTGTCTTTCCTTTAGCTGTCTGCCCTGTGATGTCATTGCCCTGTATTCTATGTTATTGCAATGTTACCAAGATCCACTCCCTCTCTCTTCTCTGACTGCCATCTGCCAGCCAGCATACCGAACTAAGTGAGGATCATATATATAAATATATATTATATTATTATAATTATATACTATTCAGGATATTTTTGTCCATTTTTTCACTGTAGATTGTAGTAAAGGTTTTTTTTTAATTTCTAGATGTTAAAACAATTTAAATCTGGAAAAAAAAACTTTAAAAATAAAAAATGATGTGTGAAAGTTTAATGTTGGCTGTGTTTTTAATTATTTTACAGATTCGCCAATTTATTTCCTTTCCCATCGTTCCACCAGATCTTCCTGCCTCACTGTCACCCGAGTGCCTCTTTTTGTGATGTAAGCGGACTTGGGTTTGATGGAAAGTGCTGTTTTCCAGTACAGACGTACCCATATCGCAGCTGGAATTCAGGCACTGAACAGTTTTATTATCGACTGTCTTCTAGACCACATTGCGTTTGTGATGGACATCGTGTTACATTCCTCCAGGTTTGTCTCTCTGTACTTTCTTTATCACTCGCAGATCTTGTACGTGTTTTGAACTGGGAGTGCATGCAAAATCCAGAGTACAACCAACTTTTTGTTCTGCATGAGACATTTCAAAAGTATTTTTCCAGACCTTAAAAAATGAAACAATGGATGAATGAAAGAGACGCTCTGTTGAAGGCTGCAGGGAGCGAAGTTAGATATAATTCAGTAACTTCTTAAATGTAACAACTATACGAGTAGCAGGTGTTACACCCTCGCATTTAAGGTCTCTTTAGTATACATAATTACTTAGGGAAGACAAATTGTTCAGATTTATAAATTTAACAAAAATAATTTGGGTTGTTGATGGTGATTAAATACACCAAACCCCTGGAAAATAATTAAGGAGTTCCAGAGTCATGCGGAACACGGTTTGGAGAACATTACTCCATTGTTTCTTGTCAGTCTGGCGCCATATTAGTCATTTAATTTACCTGATTAAATCTCACTCTCTAAATGAATGTTGTGGTTTGTTGTTCAGTGTTTGCTGGGGTTTTTACCACTCTCCGCTGAACTGTGCTCAAGTCGTATCTAATAAGTCGAGAATGAAAATAGACGAGTGCCAAATAACTAGACCGTTCTGATAAACTCTCACAGCCACCCACGTCATTAAGTCTGTGTTTAATTGCAGTACACCTGAAGGTAAATTTGCACTTGTTCTTAAGGCGTGG